GTCTGCATATCTCAGGTTGTTAATGATTCTTCCTCCAATCCTGATACCACGTTTTTCTTCATACAGTCCAGCTTCTCGGATTATTTGCTCAGCATATAGATTGTACAAGTGTGGAGAAAGGATACAACCCTGACGCACTCCCTTCTTGATTTTAAACCATGTAGTGTCCCCTATTTTAACAATTAGGTTATCAGATTTTAAGCTCACACTAGGCAGGGAACCAGTACATGATACTAGAGATGAGGGAACAAGAGTAGAGATAACAGTTATATATACCTACTTCAAAGTCACCCAACTATGTCTGTAGCAGAGCTAGAACTACAAAGCAAGCCTCAGAACTCTCCATGTTTTAGTCATTTCATTCAACAAGCACTGAATGTCTACTCTGTTCTAGTCCCTGGGGATAACAAAGTATTTAAGACATTGTCCATAGAAGAGATTCCATAAAAGTAAATCAGTGCTTAATTTGATTAAACCTTCTAAACCTTTACCTCTTCCAAAGGTAGAGATTAAACAATCAATTCTTCTTACAAAACATTCATTTCTTTAAAAAATAAAAATATACCTCCAAATGTGGAATAAAAGTTCTGTCACTTTCAAGGGCAACTACTCTGGCATCAGTTTCAAGTAATGCCTGGGTCAGGATTCCAGGACCTAATATGTTAACAGAAAGAAAAGCTTATTGATAAGAGAAACAATTTAACTTCTTTCAATAATAATACTTATATCAAACTTTTATTGGATGTTTAACATGTGCTATCCAATTTTAAGTCTCACAATCTTTCTCTCTCCTTATGGAGGTTAGATATGGTTAATGACCTCCAACATCACAAATGTTACGTGGTGCAACCTGGTATGAATCCATTCTGCCCAAGACTCCAAAATCTGTACTCCTAATCACAATGTTACACTAACTTTCTGAAGGAAAAAAGTAAGCAAAAAGCTTGTCTCCCTGCCACCTAATAATGGGCTATCTGGATGCTTTAACCATCAAACCAAAACTATCATAGGAAAGTGTGCTTTATAAAAAGCCTGTATATCTTGTGTTCTCAGCACCCTGCTATAGGAGAAGTACGGATGAGCAAGATAAAGATTCCCCCCTCCCCCCCCACCCCGGACTTAAACCTCTTACAAATTTCTCCTGGAAGAAGGGCAGCTGGAATGCTCCTTGGAAGCGAGAATGGCCAGACTTCCTCTCACCTACTTTGGTCATGTTGTCAGAAGGGACCATTCTCCGGAGAAGGATATCATACTTGGTAAAGTGGAGGGTCAACGAAAAGGGGAAGATCCTCAACAAGACCGATTGACACAGTGGCTGCAACGATGGGCTGAGGTATAGCAGGGATCCTGAGGCTGGCACAGGACCGGGCATTGTTTCGTTCTATTGTTCATAAGGTCGCTGTGAGTCAGAGACGACTCGATGGCACGTAACAACACAACCACCACCTCTTTTGGGAGATTGCGAGATCTAAAACCATGTTTTCAAAAATATTGCGTAATGCGTAAACTGCTACGGAAATTTTATTAATACAGACCATAGGCATATGTTGTGGGCACCCTTTCCAAGTCAGCTGCCTCAAAGGAAGGGTAGTGTCTTAGGCAGTGCCTCCCGCATATTCAAAACTTTGTAGAAGTGGCTGAAAGCCAAGAAAATGCAATCTATGCCAGACTCACCTGGATTGCACTCCAAGACTAACTGAGGAGTTTTTCGTTTCCCCTGCAAGATTTGTGCCAAGGTCTTAGCCAATATCCGACTGGTTACGTAACGCTTGTGGTCTAATCGACACTTAGACACATGCGACGATTCCACGTTATCTGGACAGGTTAATGGCTGCGGGCTGAAGTCAGACAAAACCCTGCGAGGCACTGCCAGTAACTCCTTCCGCGTCGCCACACCGGATCCTACAACGCAAAAGCGACCAGCGCCAGTCAACACTGAGAAAGTCAGCCGCACAGAAAGCCCCGCCACTGGGACCGACATCTTTGCTCTCTAAAGTCCGTCCAAAGATCACTCAGCGTCACTACTTCGGCGAACGCCGAGTAGGGCAGCCCACGTGCACCATCTCCCGGCTGACAGGCTAGAGAGGACGGAAGTAAACACTAAAAACTGCGCATGCGAACGATCACTCATTAGCCCCTTTCTTCCTCATTTCCGCTTCCGTCCTGACTCGGCCTCGGAAGGATTGTGAGTGGCCTGACAAGAGAGACGGACCATCTGGGTTGTGTCTGGACTCGTACTCTATGGTTGTCCGCCCTCTGCGCTTCCTCTCTAGCCATTCGCACTCTATGCTCTGCGGTCGCGGGCCGCCTACCGCTAGCCAGCCGGTCGGGAGGGGTGCGCAGAGGAAGGCGGGGCGGGAAGGCAAGAGGTATCTCCTCCAGTGGAGCCGCGGGAGACCTGAGTAAGGTCTGTGACAGCTCGTCGGCCGCCATGTCAGCGACTGGGGCGGGAAACAGACCCGGCGTACCACGGTAGCCCTCCTTTTGCCTCCGATTACCAGGTGAGGAGAGGAAGAGAGGGATGCCGAGGATCCGCAGGCTCGCGGCCGGGGTGGATAGCCTTTCGGAAGCCCCTCGCTCCTCCCCCTGCGCTGTCCTCCTCCGGCAGCGCCGCCTCTGTCCTCCCGCGCCTCTGCCTTCGGTGAGGTGTACCCCTGTGCCTTCATCTCCGCCCCCTCTCGGGTCTTCTGTTTTCTCTAGCCAAAGTGGGTCTCCTATTCCTGCGCACTGTTCCAATTTCTCTCTTCCCTAGGGAACTAGCCCCGTAGTCGCTCCCAGTCCGCCTCCCGTGGCGCCTGCGACTTCCACTATGCCTCTGTTCTCTTCTATCCCGTTGCCCACATCTCTCCCTTGTGGTTGGTTTTTATTTTCCCCATATCTTTTTTTTTTCCCCCTTCTCTCCACTTTGTCAAAAACCGCCTAGTGTCTCTTTTCCTTTCCTGTCTCTAAGCCAGTATTTAGCTTACTTCTTAATCTGCGTGTTTAAAAGATTTCTTTCTAAGCTTAAAAACATTAAGATCGTAGGATGCAAATTGTGTTTCTTGTGTAAACTTAGTCAAAGAAATTGTACTGTGGAATGCATTTTAAAAGACCATTTCCAAAGACTGAAAATAGGATGCTTTAATGGAAATTTTGGCAGTCTTTTTACCTGTTGGGCAATATAAGAAGACCCGATTTTTTAAGGGTACTTTCAGTATAGTGAAAGATCAGACTTAGAAAGAGCTGGCCCAGTATCCACCAAAGAAGGAAACTAACCAGTCAACTTCTAATTTTAAAATACGTACAATCCTTTCTGCTTACTCTACTGGGAGCATAATTGAGCTTGGCATTTAAATGCTCAAGGAGAAGCCTTCCCAGGAATGTATCACCTAGCATATAGAAGTCTGAAGATTCTTCTCAGCTGATGAACTTCAAATTGAATGAATTGATATCCAACTATAGTCTTTCTTGAATTATCAATTTTCTAGGAAACTAGAAAGTTTCTAATTTTTTTTTTTTTTTTTTAAATACCAAGCCCTGTGGAAGTCCTGGAGCCTCACTGGTTACAATTTTTTTTTTCCTATACAGTTTGCTCATTGACACTTTTCTAGAACTGACTTTTGCATCCCCTGAACATCTGAGAAAGCATTTTTTCATGATCCTTTACTGCCCTCCTCTTCCTTTGTTCTTAAAAAATATTTCAATAGATTCAAGAATATACTGAAATATTCCCCAGGAGGCCTGGGGTCCTAAATATTTGGAAATCAAATAAAGCAAAATGGTATCTTAGGATAGAGGAAGAAAATGAGCCACTCATAGAAGTTTGTCTTTGAATTTCTCACTTTCAAAATATTCTTACTTTAATATATGCTTTCTTATTTCATAATATTTGTGGACCAAATGTAGCCTAGTAAGCTCTAGAGAAATGAACATAATTTTTTATTTTGCTTTTGAGTGGTAATTATAATTTTCTTTTGGTTTTGGTAAAGAGAATTAGCTTATAATGATAGTTTTCCTTTTTATGGTGTTAATGGCTCATTTGCTTGAAGTTGAAGGTGCTTAAATAACAGAGACAGAACCTTACACTTTATTTTTCTGAGTCCCCAAGTTCTGGAAATGAAAGAAATTTCCCTTTAAAGGTGAACCTCATTTGGAAACCTTGGTTTGTGTATTTCCCACTTTATTTTATTAAGAGGTGTGGTTTTGCATCCTGTGTTATTTTTGCCTTGTTGAAGTAAAATAATTTCTCTTTAAATTGGTGCCAGGACAAACTGATTCTTCTGATATTTTTACAATCTTCCTAGTAAGTTATTTCAGTTAAATTGGTAGGGAAGGGAAAATACTTTTTTTTTTTTTTTCCTTTGGCTATTGAATGCAACTCATTCATTTGCGTAGTGCCAAGTGATAGTTCTTGCTTGCTAATCAGAACTGGACTGTAAGTCAATATTGCACTATCCAATCAAAATATAATGCAGGCCATCTTTAACAAAATTTTTTAAAAAAGGTGAAATTAATGAGAGCTCTGGTAACGTAGTGCCTAAGGCACTTGACTGCAAACCAGAAGGCTAGTGGTTCAAACCCACTAGCCACTCCTCAGAAGGAAGGTTGGGCAATCTACTTCCGTAGTGATACTGCCTCGGAAACCCAAGGAGGGGTCACTATGAGTTGGTATGACTCGAGGCACATAACAACAACAACAATGTTAATAATATATTTAATTCGATACATATCATTTCAACATGTCATCCATATGAAAAATAAGATACGTTTGCTTTTTTGTTCAAAATCTTTGAAACCTTGTGTGCATTTTACATTTACAACACATCTCAATTCAAACTAACTATATTTAAAGTGTGCAACAGCCACATGTAGTTGTTGTTATGTGCCATTGAGTCAGACCCGACTCATAGCGACCCCTCCTTGGGTTTCCAAGGCGGTATCACTACAGAAGTAGATTGCCCAGCCTTCCTTCCGAGGAGTGGCTGGTGGGTCCACATGTAGTTAATGGGTAGCTAATGGGTATATTATTGGTCAGCAGATATCTGTAGGATTACAATGTGATACTTTCCTATCCTGAGTCTGATTTATGTGGTAACTTCAAAACTCATTTTCCTGAAGTGCTACAGTATTGAAACTGAAAAGTTCCTATGTAGGAAGAGAGTTCCAAGAAGTCTCTTCCTCTTTGTGTGACTGTTAACACCAAGCAGGATAAGCAGGTGCCCAGTGTTTGCTTAGTGACCAGTCACAGGATGAATCCAGCGCTCAGTCATATCCTGAGGTGTCATTGTTACTTATTTACATTTGCATGTCAACCATGTGTTAAGGCATTTGTGTGAGTCTTTGTCAAGTAAAACCATTGACATTAAGTAGGAAGAACTTGAAGACTTAAAAGAAGATTGGGCTTTCTTGCCAACAGGTAGAATACTTGCTATTGAACTTATTTTCTGGATCAGTTTCTGATATAGCTAAGAGTTTTGTAATGTGCTTCTGTATATCATAGTGTTTCTTATGAAAGGAAAGATCTAATCTTTTTAGCAAGATGTGGACAAATAGAGGGCATATTTTATGGGTCTAAAACACTGGGAGCTTCAGTAATAGCAAAAGACTAACATTTGCTTATAGTGGTATAGGGGATTGGACTCTACAGCATGTAACAACAGCAACAAAGGAAGTATAGCAGTTTTTGTATAAAACTCCTGTCGTTATGTCTAGGTGTGTGTGTTTTAAGTTATTTTTGCAACAAGGATGGTGATTTATATGGAACCATCTCTAGTTCAGAACTTATATAACTTTTGTAACTGACCTTAGTGGGGTCATTGTTCTTATCTTGACCCCTGTGATTTAATAAACTTCCCTTAGTGCTCCTTTGTCCTTGGGTAGCCCAAATGGTTAACATTCTCAAATGCTAATCAAAAGGTTGGCAGTTCCAGTACATCCAGAGGTACCTTGGAAGGAAGGCTGGGCTATTTGCTTTAGCTATTGAAAACACTATGGAGCCCAGTTTTGCTCTCAGTTGGAGTCAACTTGAACACAACTGGTTTTTAAATACTATTTTAGCTGCAGTGTGTTACCTTTTCAGTTAATGTCAAAATTAGCCTGAAGGGCTAATTAATATTTAGTGTAATTTAATACATGAAACATATTCCCACCTCAAACTTTATGGAATAAAGAAATTTTAAATTATTTGGTTAATAAACAAACTGCCTCTGTAAAATCTGGTCATTATACGTATGGTACAGCAAAAGCAGTATGTGGAGTATTAGAAGATCAAAGACAGCGTTGGAGGATAGTTAATGGATGCTGCTTGTTTCCTGACTGATGTATACAAGTCATATAGTACTATGCAGTATTTTCATTTGTATTTAAATCTAGATTACTGTCCATTTGACCCTATTTTAGTTGGATAAAAAAGAAAGAAATTGGTTTCTGTAAGTTATGTTAGCAAATTTTAATTTCAGTTATTTGAGGACGACTAATTGATAGTCTGTTAGTTCTCAAATTTTTTTAAAAGCCCTTATAAACTCTAATGGCCTGTACAAGGGTTATATGTTTATTAAGAAATTATATATTCAACATATGTATATTTTGATTCTGTTGTGCAGCATTCTCTTCAGTTTAGGGTCTTGAAGATTTGCATAAATACTGACTTCTCTATACTTAGGACTCATTCCCATGGGGGAAATTATATTTCCTTTTAACCAGGGGATACTGTTTTTTTCAAGCACTTGAAATAGCTCATTTGTAATATTCTTTAAAGAAATATAATATTGAAAAAATGGAAGTCTTATAAAAGCTTGAGATTTCTTAAATCATTTTAGTTTAAATTTTGAGTTTCAGGTCTTTAGGTTTTTGGAGATGGAGTATTTGACATCATACCACCTCACCCTCCCATTTTTTAGGACTTAACATTTTTCATCATCATTAGCCATGTGGGAAGTAAAGATAGTATGTGTCTGTCAAAATACTGACAAATCAAGATATTTTTCCCTCAAACTCTCTAGGAAGAATTGTAAAGCAGTAAGTTATACTTTTGCTTTTAGAATTCTTCCTAGAGAGTCTGAGGGAAAAATAATTTTGATTTGTGCTTTTAAGGAGCTCTGGTGGCACAGTGGTTGAAGGATTTGACTGCTAACTGAAAGGTCAGTAGTTCGAACCCACTGGTCACTCTGTGGGAGAAAGATGAGGCAGTCTGGTTCTAAAGATTTACAGCCTTGGGAACCCTACAGGGCAGTTACACTCTGTCAAGATGAATTGGAATTGACGCAATGGCAGTAGGTTTGTTTTTTGGATTTAGAGTTACACTTTTTGTAACCATTGAGTTGGTTTGGACTCATAATGACCCTATGTACAGCAGAATGAAACACTGCCCAGTCCTGTGCTGTCCTCACAGTCGTTGCTATACTTAAGCCCATCATTGCAGCTACTGTGCATCCTGTTGATGGTCTTCCCCTTTTTCGCTGACCCTCTACCAAACATGATACCCTTCTCCAGGGACTGGCCCCTCCTGGGAAATTAGGCATTC